TAGACATGCGTGTGTTTCCGTGTATGTGTATGTGTATGTGTATGTGTATGTGTATGTGTATGTGTATGTGTATGTGTATGTGTATGTGTATGTGTATGTGTATGTGTATGTGTATGTGTATGTGTATGTGTATGTGTATGTGTATGTGTATGTGTATGTGTATGTGTATGTGTATGTGTATGTGTATGTGTATGTGTATGTGTATGTGTATGTGTATGTGTATGTGTATGTGTATGTGTATGTGTATGTGTATGTGTATGTGTATGTGTATGTGTATGTGTATGTGTATGTGTATGTGTATGTGTATGTGTATGTGTATGTGTGTGTGGTGGGGGTGGGGGTGTGGTGGGGGTGGGGGAAGAGGCATATTAGCGGAGGCAAGGCGGTGGAGGTGGAGATGACGGTGGTGAAGAAAGTCGGAAAAGCGGCACAGCGCGGTCAGGGGTAAGTACGGCAGCAAACCCTGGAACCACCGGGGGAGGAGAGGGAGGGCGGGAAAGAGCGACAAGGAAAATGCGTGACAGGAAAATGGGGTCGAGGAGTAAAGCCGAGGAGGAGGGGGGGGGAGAAAGGGATGGAGAGAGGGGTGGGTATTTCCGTAGTCATACACGCACACACATCAGCTCTATTATCCGGCATATTATTGTTTGCAGGGTGGTGAGAGTGTAAGGCACAGTCTAAGACAGCAGCAGCAATAACAACAACAGCATTACCAGCAGCGGCAGTAGTAGCAGTAGCAGCAGTGCAGCAGTAGCAGCAGTAGCAGCGGCGGCGGCTGAAGTTGGAGACCTCCGTTTACCCCCAACCCCCCAGCTCTTACACCTCCACCTCCACTTCCATCCCACTAAACCTTCCCCCCCACGCACACATACACATACACACACATGCATACACACACCGCCGCAACTCCCCCCACCTGCAAAGCAGACCTCATCTTTTTGCTGTCCACGTAAAGGATCCCCACCGTGCTGCTCATCTTCATTTGATCCACCTGCACGGCAATGTACGGCAATGTATGCGAGGGGTAGCAACGGAAAGTGTTCGTATGCCAAGTATAACTTCCACAGTAACATCAACCCTGTGCTGTGTGCATTAACACGATTTCGTGTTTGTATGTAAGTATGTAAGTATGTATGTATCTAAGTGTGTATGTACGACGTGTGATGTGTGGGACAGGGGGAAACAGATGCTGTCATGAGTTAGTGTGTTTGTGCTCATTACCACCTAGCCGACCATTGACGCATTGTGCGTACATTCATACATACACACGCGCGTACGATCGCACTTAGACACATACATACATACACACATACACACATGTGTACATACCGATACACCCGCACCTGGCGCTGCCAACGGCGCTGCTGTAGCAGGTCCCGGCGGAACATCGTCGCAAGGGTGTCGTACCCCTGCAAACCCACACACGCCGCTGCCGCCTTCATGTCGTACGCCGTCGCGTCCCACGACGTTGAAAACTCGTAGATGGGCCGCTTATCCTCAAACGTGGCGCGGACATAATCAAGCGCCTGGTCGTACAAATACACCGCAACATTGCCGTACACAGCAACACAGGATGGAAGTACGGCAGGGAAGTTAGTTGGACGTGGAAGTTATGGCGGCTGCAGGGGTAAAAGCGGTCTGCAGGTGTAGTCCCCCGGGTGGGGCCACCTGCGGGGGAAAGGAGAACCTCCTTCCGTGTGCGAAACACAGTTGGAAAACAAAAAAACTGGAAAACGATTTCGTCCCATCCACACACACACACACACACACACACACACACATTCCCCTTCTCCCCTCTCCCCCTGCATTAAGGAAAGAACACCATACCATGACACGCGTCATTTTTTCACCCCTTCCTCTCTCCCCCAGCCCCCCTACAAAGTCACCGCTGAACCCCGATGTGGTGCCGTACAGTCATGTTGTACATTGTACAGTCACATCCCCTCTTCTCTCTCCCCCTGTCCCCCCATTCCTAGAGTTCCCCCCCTTCCTAACAGGTCCTCTCTTCACCTTGTCAAAGCTATCCTCCACGTGCGAGAGCACCGCCTCACGCAACTGCTGATACAGCCGGCTGCCGTCAACCATCAGCGCAGCCACGTCGACAAACTTCTCGCCCTCGGGGATGTACCTAACACGTACGGCAGGTACGGCACGTGTACGGCAAACACGTAATCGTGATTATGGAATATGGGTGAGGGTGAGGTGAGGGTTATTGTGCTGCCATGACGTGTCACGTGTCGCCTTTTCCCTTTCCTCCTTTGTCTTCCTTTTTCTTTCCTTCGTCGTACATCCAACATTCAACCTCTCGTCGTCGGGATCCCCAACCCGACCCAACCTGTCACGAAGTGGCTATCGCGACCTCTCCTAGTAGTACGGCACCTGGGGCCTCCAAACCCCCTTTCACCTCGGTCGGGGTCGTGTCGTACCCCCCCCCGCCCTCCCTGTGCCGCTTCCCACCGCCCCCCAAATACCCCCCCAAGCAAATCCCCGCAACCCCCGCAACATCCGCCACTGGGACTGATGGGTTTGAAATCAAATTGCGGCTGGGTTTGAACACCGGTGTCAGCGGAATCCCGTTTGGTGCCTTCAATGCCTCCATACTAATGACACCTCCAAAGAACAGTTTCTTTTCAGATTTCCTGAGATAATATGAAGGTAGTGTGCGCAAAAACCCTACAGCAACGACACCTACTTTGCCGCCACTGCCTTGCTTGAAGAGGGTCGGGGCATATCCGCGAGCGTGGTCACCAGAGCGTCCATGACGTGGCTGAGTCCGTCGTGAACCTTTGACGTGATGACGCATGTGATGACGGTAGTACGTACGTACGACAAGGGAGAAGGAGGGCAGCCGTACAATGTACGATACAATGTGCGTTACTTTACGCAGTGCAGTACACGATATACGCACAGTGTCGCACTTCGCCACATCCGGTTTGAAATCGTTCTCGGAACACACAACTTGTTGATTGCGTATGTATGTGTGTATGTATGTATGTATGTGTGCGTACACATACGTACGTAGGTAGGTGTGCATGTGTCCCGTTTCGTACAAGTACGACCAAGCCCACCTGGCGGCGTTTCGGCGAGAAGGAGTATCCCTGGGGCCCCGCCGGGGTGCCGTACACGACTGACGTAGCGTCAGGTTCTTCGGATGAGGAGGGCGGAACCCCCCGGGGAGGAGACGCCACGGCCTGCTGCTGGTTTCGGGGCTCGAAGGACACCACCACGTTTATGACGCCCTGCAGATGTGTATTCGTGTGTGTGTGTGTGTGTGTGTTTCGGTGGGGGGGAGGGCAACACCAATACACCACAATTATCAGCACCTACAACAAACATCAAAAGGCAAAAAGCTTCATCTCCCCTCGTTCATTGATCCTTCCCCCGCATCCCCCTACCCCCCACCCCACCCCCAGACGGCGCAAAACACACACGCGTCAAAACACACCCGTATCTTGTTGGGGTTGTCTAGGTAGCCCAGCAGCTCCTGGGTTCCCCGGATTCCAAGATCTGCTGCCGTACAAGCCACAAGGTAGTCGAGAAGTCGTACAAACTGGGGCATGCGGGTTTTAGCTGCCACCCAGGCGTCGTACTTTTCCAGAATCGCCGCCTTCTCTGCCTGCAAGTTCAAGATTTATTTCGGAGGGGAAACGGTTTCAGAAGCGAATACACACACACACCTACGCACGGATACATACATACATACATACACACATACACAGTGTCACACGGGTACCAGATCCGTACACCTACTACACCCGTATGAATAGGCACCGCCCACCTTGAGCGCGGAGATGGACTTGGATTTCGCCGCCACCATCGCTGCCGTACGTCCCCCCGCGCCTGCCCCCACGGGTATCTGGGTTACAAACTCGTTCGCACGCAGGGCGGCAATGTCCACCCCCCGCTCCATACGCTCCAGCTCCGAAACCACACGGGCCCCAACCGCCAGCACCTCGGCAGCCAGCTCCTCAGACAGGGAGGCGAGTGTGGGGGCAGCAACCTGGCGCATGTGGGGGGGGGGTGAAGGGGTTGGGGGTTGGGGTGTGTGTGTATGTGTGTATGTGTGTTTTTTGGGGGTGGGGTGTTTGGGGGGTGGGATAGGGGAGGACATCAGCGCTATGGGGGCGAGAGGGGCGGAGGCGGGCGGGGAAGGAATAGCTCAGTGCACGAGACTTTACACTAAGAGATGACCTGCCGCCGTACAAAAGGTGTATGTGTGTAATTTTCTAACTCCAAAGACTATTTAGGAAATGTTCCGTGTTACGGCCGTGCGGCGGCATGTGTTATGGCATGTGCTCGCGGGAAGATCGCTTGGGGAGGTGTAACACAAAAATACGTCAGTACGGCAAAATATGTCGTACTCACCGACTGGCGGCGATTGTCCTGCTCCCCAACAAACTCCTCCAGAGTGTACAGCCGATCCATCCGAGTGGTTATCTGAAACGTACGGAACGCCGTACAAGTTAACGGCAGAGGAATCGGGAGTTGGTGGACTTTTAGGGCAATATTTCCCCGGATGCCCCCGAAAGCTACGATCACTTCCAGCAGTTGACATACATACGTGCAAACAAACAAACATACATACATACCCCCCACTCACCGCGACCACCGCCGTATCCCGCATACGCCCCACCAAACTGGCCGCCTTAAGCAGGGCTGGCTGGAAGGTGGGCAGTACGGGGAACAACCGCGCCGCCACTGCCCTCCGAGTGCGCTCAAAGGCACTGCGCTTCACATTCGCCCGCCAACGACGAAATGTACGGACCAGCAAAAAGTGGCGGAAGAAACGCATCTTCCGGAGCAGGTCGTACACCGTATTCAGCCTGGCCGGGTTTTGAGGGGTTTAGGGTGGAGGGGTGGGGGAGGAGGGGAAAACGAGGTGAGGGGAAAACGAGGTGAGGGGAAAACGAGGTGAGGGGAAAACGAGGTGAGGGGAAAACGAGGTGAGGGGAAAACGAGNGTGAGGGGAAAACGAGNGTGAGGGGAAAACGAGGGGAGGGGAACTAATGATATGTAATGCAGGAAAAAGGAGAGGAGCTCAGCGGGGCGGCAGTGGCGCGGCGGATTGAGATACGTCCTTTTGGGGTGGACTCAACGTAGATTCGATCGGAGGCCTACTATACGAATAGCTTGCAACGAAGTAAGGGGTGGCGTTTTGGGTTTTCATTGAAATCGTGTAGGTCGGAAGCTCCCTTAGCCTTTATCCCTTTATCATTCCTACAATTACCCGCTGTCCATACCCACTCGAACCACACCTTGACTCCCATCACAAGACGCCCCGCTCCCTCACTCCCTCACTCCCTCACTCACTCACACACTCACACACACACACACACTTCCCCCTCAAAGTTTTAACCGGGCCCCAAACCTCCTCCCCCATATCCCCGACCCCTTTTTACCTTTTTACACACATACACACACACACACTCTCTTAGCCCCCTAACCCCCCCGACCTCACCTCATCCACTCCCCCAATGGAGTGAACTCCGCCTCATCTGTACGATGTTTCGCCACATGTACGACACCCAGCGCTGACATGGTCCAGTAATCCGACCAGTCCGCGTAGCACCTCTCGAAGGGAACCACCACCAGGTCGAACGGACTAACGACGTCCATCAGGTGAGCAGCTGCGGGGGGGTTCGTGGGGACGGGGGGGGAGGGGGGAAAGGGGGAGAGGGGGGGAGGAAATGAGGTGTACGGGTGTACGACATTGTACGATGAAGAAAGAGTGTACGGAGAAACATGTGATGTACGGCATGTACTGGGGGGAATGCGGGCAAAGCGGGCGGAGGTTGAAAGGCGGCGGGTGTTCGGGTGGGATGGTTTGGGGTGTTTTGTGTGGGAAACGGTTTCGGAGACTTCACCTCCCCAACCCAGTCCTCCGATCTTACATGACATCCCCCAGTTGAAGTTGGACAGGTAGACAGACAGACAGACAGACAGACAGACGTAAACAGGTCGCACATATGGCAGCCAGGCAGCCGCGGTAAACACAGGCTGCTGCCAAAACACATCCAGTTCGGGCTTGTCCTCCCCACCAACCAACCAACCAACCAACGGAATGACCTCGAAGCCCTCAAACCACCTACCACCAGTTCCCACTACCCCTCTTCATCTCAGATGAACACCACACCCACCCACCCACACACACACACTCATCCCCCCACACATCCTCACCCCCCACACACACACACTCATCCCCACACACACACTCATCCCCACACACACCCTCACCCCCCCACACACATACACACACCAAATACACACACACGCACTCACGTTTCCGGGCCATCAAGTAAAAGAGCTTCTTCTCGGCGTTCTGACCCCGGGTCAAAAAGTAGTCCACCACGTCAAAGGACTGCTCGCCGTGCGCGTCGTGCGCGGGACAATCGTTATGTGTACGGACGCCGTACGTACGGCACAGTGCACGGAGGAGGGCCGAAACGGAAAGAGTGTTGGGGGTGGGTAAGGTAGTGGCAGTGGAGGAGACGAAGAGGAGAAAGGTTCCATGATAAGATCCAAGATCCAACAATGGCCATGATCCACATAACATCTAAGTAAATCCGAATCCAATTTGACTTTTAGGACATCTCCAGAATTTACCCAACTCAAATCCTACGGTTCACCCCCACCCCCATCCCCATCCCCATCCCCACCTATCAACACAAAAGGAATATAATTATAAAGCAAGGAGATGCTGGAAGGACGGATCATGACCGATTAGGTGGGGTGTTGCTGGTGATGGTGGTGGTGGTGGTGGTGGTTCTGGTGGTGAGGATCGGCCCCGCTTTGAGCTACGTAAAAACAACACTGGTGCTCGAAATGCTGGCATCCGACCCTTCAACTCGCCCCC